GGTATCTCACAGATTCTTATTCTCTGTGTTTGGGTAGCTGTGAAGCTCTAAAATGTTCTCTCTGTCTGTTATAAAAAGGCCATGAAGCAGACTTATTTTTCTTTAAGAGATTGACATTAAATATGCTGACCAGGTTTCAGTGGATGAATTCTCATTAAGGGAAATCTGGGAACACAAACTTGACTTGATAGGCTTTAACATCTATGACAGGATATATGAAATGCAGTTTGGGGGATGCTATGGGTTATTTACAGATATGGGAGGGTTCTAAATATGACAAACATGCACTGTATTAGAATGAATAAAAATTCAATGAAAATACATTTTGAAAAAGGTATGATTTATAATATTAAGAAAATGTAGATAAATCATATCTATACCAACAGATGCTGACTTTTTTGAAAATTTTGATACCAAATTGGAATAAAAATTCTCAATAAATTTGGTATGAAGAAATGTTATTTAATACAATAAGTAAATCATAGGACAAGAATAGAACTGACATTATGCTCAGTGTTGAGGTTTGTAAGCTTTTATTCTCAGATAAGGAACAAGACAAGAATTCTAATTCTCATAGTTTTTCCACACTGCATTGGAAGTCCTATTCCGTTGAAATAAAATAAGAAAAAGAAACAAATGACATCCTAATATGAATGGATAATATGTAATTATCTGCTGAAAGAATGATTTCATATATGAAAAAAATCATAAACACTTGACCCAAGAGCAAAGAGTAATAAATTGCATAATGACACAGAACACAAAATCAACATGAGAAAATCAGTAGTAGCAAATTCATTTTTGGATATCAAAGTATATGCATAAGCAAATGTGTGAATGAAGGCCAAATATTATAACCTTAGAAATAATAGAAAACCCAATGAAAAAATATTTTTAAAGATATTGAAATGTGTTGAAAATTGACAAAGGAGGCATAAATTTATGTTTTGGAAGAAATGATATTGTTAAAATGATGTGATGCACCAAATAGTATACAGATTGAATATCACCCCATTCAAAACCCCAATGATAATTATTATGGAAATGACTGTAAAAGTCATATGTGAATTTAAGCTGAAAAGCAAAAGCAGTCTTAAAGAAATGAACAAAACTAGAGCCATCACACCAACATATTTTGAAATATATGAAACTACATTAATTAGAATATCATGACATTGATAATAAACAAGCATATGTAAAATAAAACAGCATACTATGAAAGAGTGGTGTGTTCAAAAACAATGTTTTTAGATGATGGAAATATTTCTGAAGCTGGATAATGAGCCTAACTGTAAAAGTTTATTAGTATGCTAAAACTGAAAAAAAAGTATTTATTCTCAAAGGAAGAGTATTGGATAAGATCTCTTGTTAAAATAAAATTCCATCAGGGAGTGGCAATAGTTCTAAGCAAAGTGTTAAAGGAACATTCTTTTAAAATATAAAAAAATGGACTAAAAAGTGATTTGGAAATGGTTAACTGCGGATCCAGTTTTAATAGATGTAGGTGTTGGAGGACGAAAGTTTGTAATAAGAGCTCATGCAAACAAACTACTTTGCAAGTTTCTTTTTTCATGACATAGGTAATTTGGAAATACTCACTAGGAATTATAGCTCAAGCTTTATAGAGTTGGTGCTGTGTCCTCAGGGGAGCACACAGAACCAGAAAGGAAACCAAGCTCAGCAAATCCTGCAGGGAAATCAATGCAGAAACCCAAGTCTCAAACGCCACCAGTAAAATAAAATGACATCTTAATGCTCAGCTGTCAAAGATCGATTCACCTCAGGTAGGTGTCTGAGTGTCTGGGTTTGAATTCATAGGATTTAACAAAAGAGCCCTTTGATGATGGGAATTTCAAATACTGATTTTATGTCTGCTTATTTAGTTCAATTAATTCCAGGTTCAGCACATGAAAATGGAATTTTAAAATGTATATTTTATTGAAATTTTGTGTATTTCGTACAACAGTTCTTAATCACATTAAAACCCTCTGCCCAATTTGCACCCTCCATAGATTCAGAATTAGAAAATACAGCTTTAGTTAATACTATCCATAAAGTAACATTTGATTAGTCTAGTCATAAAAAGCCTCTTATCCTTTCATTATTGTGCAAGGGTAAACAAATTTAAATGATTCTTAAAAGTGTTTTCTGTAAAAATGACTGAGCTACTATATTAAATATAAAAGTATATCAAATTAAACAGTAAAAAAAGATGAAATAATAAAATTTGCCGATAAATGGATGAATCTAGAAACTGTCATACTAAGTAATACAGACTCAGAAAAAAAAAACAAAAAACGTTTTCTCCCTCATATGTGGCTCCTGGCACCAAACCCTTTTAAATTCCAGGTCCTTTTAAAGGATGATGATATACAGGAGTCCCTTATGCATAAAATTACTACCATCATCATGACTTTGAGCTGCATCACTAAACATAGTCACAATTGGGCTTGTTGACGGTTGTGCTCATTCATTAAATGAGTGCCAAGCATAGTCACTGGACACTCACCTGAGTACCCAGCCACTCCTCCCAGCCAACTAGTCCAGCCTTGGAAGACAAAAGAAAAATGAGGAGGATCCCAATATAGGGGATGCTTTTGAGGCCCTTGTCAAGAAACTCTAATGGACTCTCATATGAACATTTGAAAATTGCCCTGTTCTGATATTTTTCTAGTTCCCTGTCTAGAAATTGTAATGATAATTACTCTTGCCTTTACTTTTCCTTCACATCTCCTATTCATGATTCAAGGACTTTCTTTTCCCCTTAGAGACAAGAGTTATACAATTTTGGAGTCTTTTAGATAAACCCAGTGAAGCTCTACACCAATTGCCTCACCCTGCATCCCTATTCAGCATGGAAAAATCCAGAGTGGTCTGTGTCCCTATTCCCTATTGTCAATTTGGGTTACCCCTTCAGAGGATGGCATGATAAGAATAGGAGGAAGGAATTGGCTAGGCAGTTAGAGTAAAATACCCCAAAGAAATGTAGCCAATTTCTTGGCTAAAAGTCAAAACATCATTGGGTCTGTTAGCAACATACTCTGTTCCAAAGGCCAAAACTGTCTAAAGTATTTGGGAGCTTGTATCTAATACTTAAAAGATTTTAGGGTGACTGCTTCAGAGGGAGGAATGTTGAAGGGGAGGGAGTGGGCATGGATTTAATCAAAACACCTTATATACATGTATGAAATTCTCAATAAAGTTTTTGTAAAAGTTAAAAAAGTATATCAATTGACCTTATGAAAAACACAATGTATTTAATCTAAAAATACCCTAAAATATCCAACACCCACATCTAATTCTCACTTGCAATTAAACAACAGAGAGACATACTTATAAGAACACTGCCTGCAACATTGCAAAGAACAAGAGGCTGCCGAGTTCTGTCCCCTGAATGCAGGGGGGACACCTATATCAAACTTCTACCTCTCAAGGTTCAGAGAACATTTTCGAAGAGGGAGTGGGCAGATTCTAAGGGGCAGAAAGTTTGGACCATATGGAAACTAAGTTTCCAGAGAGTGGTCAGTTACTCACAGCAGTGGTGACAGCATACACAAGTCCCTTGAAAGCTCATACCAAAAGTTCCCAGCATAGACATAAGACATGTGGAATTTGGTAAGAAACCTCAACGCAAACTAAGGAAACATTGGTAAATCATGCCGCTGGGAGGGGCAGAGGTAGCCTCTTTCAAGCACAGATTCTTGGTAACTAACCAGGCTCCAGTGAAGGATCCACAATTATGGGCATTTGCAAAATATACATTTTATATACATTTTATATATATATATATATATGGAGAGAAAAAGAAAGAGAGAAAGTATTAAATAAGGCAAGGGCAATAAGTGGAGATGCACGTAGGGAAGGGGCTCTAAGTACCATCTAATTGTACTATATCAAAATCGCAAAAATATTAATAAAAAGTAATGTGCATATACATGAAAATAGACACATATACAAGAAAAATATCATATATGACAAAATTAATCATCTTATAATTTCATTTTAATGTAAAATACTACTTATAATCTGTTGTAATGTAAATAAATATCTTAAATTATTTTAATCTTGTTTCTTTTCAGTATACATCTTTAGTCAGGAAAGATCTTTATATGGAAGCTAAAAAGTCCATGAATGTTGGGGAAAATCACAGTAGAAACTGAAGTAGAAAGGTAATTAGGGGTTGGAGACATGACTTAATGGTTATGAACACTGCATGCTCCTGCAGAGGACCTGGGTTCAATTCTCAGCATCTACAGCATCTACACGGTGGCTAACAATGGTTCATATCTCCTTTTCTAGGGGATTCAGTACCCTATTCTGATCTCCGTGGGCATTTCCTAACACAAGTGCACTTACATACATGATGGTAATACAATCATACACATAAATTTAAAATACAATAAATAAAATATTTTTAAATGAAAGGTAATTAAAAGTGATTTCATGTCTATTCAAATATCTAAACAGCATATATCAATAAGGCTACATATTAATTTTCATTCCTACTAGTTAATTATGTGTTCTATATTTCTTTAACTGGTATAAATACTTCTGAAATAATCAAATATTTTGGGAATATGATCATGCTAATCATTCATCAGTTCCAATAAATAAACTGAAGAGAATGGCTCAACTTGTACATCCTATAGTGAGACTCTCTGTTATCTGTGGTTTTCATAAGTTTAGGCTCACATGAGATTTAATTTATCCAAATGTAGCTCCTGAAATAAAGTGGAGTCAGTAGAAAAAATTAAGAAATTGAACAAAGTCCTGTATCTAATGACAAATATGTCAACTCTACTTCTCTCTGATTTTAATACTATTTTCAAACAGATAAATATTGTTTTAAAGCAGTGGTGACATATGACTATGTATTTTAAAATAAAATTAAAGATTAATTAACAAATTGTATGCTGCCTACCACATACAATGTTCCTATTCCAATGTGCAAAATGCCTACATACAATTTTCTTTATCACTTTTTCAAAGGCTTAGTAAGAAAAAGAAATATGGATATAGAAAACTGCTCATCTGCAAATGAATTCATTTTACTGGGAATTACCAATAACCCTGAGGTGAAAGTGGCTCTATTTACAGTGTTTCTACTGGTTTATCTCATCACTCTTCTGGCAAATCTTGGCATGATCATTTTGATCAGGATGGAGCCCCAGCTCCACACACCCATGTACTTCTTCCTCAGCCACCTCGCCTTCTGTGACCTCTGCTACTCCACTGCAGCTGGACCCAAGATGCTTACTGACGTATTTGGCAAAAGTAAATCAATTTCCTTCTTGGGCTGTGCTCTGCAATTCTTCACTGTCTGTGCCTTTGCGGATTCCGAGTGCATGCTTCTGGCAGTGATGGCCTTTGACCGTTTCCAGGCCATCAGCAACCCTTTGCTGTACTCAGTAAACATGTCCAGCAGGCTGTGCTCCCTGCTCATGGCTACGGTTTACGTGTTGGGAACAGCAGATGCTTTGATACATACCACCCTGGCATTCCGCTTATGTTTCTGTGGGTCTAATAAGATCAACCACTTCTTCTGTGATTTACCTCCACTTTATCTCCTATCCTGTTCTGACACACAAGTCAATGAGCTTGCCGTATTCACAATTTTTGGTTCCATTGAACTGAGCACCATCGCAGGAGTCCTTGTCTCTTACTGTTACATCATCTCATCAGTCTCAAAGATCCGCTCTGCTGAGGGGAGGTTTAAAGCTTTCTCCACCTGCGCCTCCCACCTGACTGCAGTTTCAATTTTCCAGGGAACTATAGTCTTTATGTATTTCAGGCCAAGTTCTTCCTATGCCCTAGATGATGATAAAATGGCTTCACTATTTTACACCCTTGTGATTCCCATGCTGAACCCTCTGATTTACAGCTTACGGAATAAGGATGTTAAAAATGCCCTAGAAAAAATTAAAAATAAATTTTTGTTTTAAATATTTATGTATAGTTCCATCCCCATATATGATGCAGCTGTTTGCTCTCCTTCTCTCTCCCTTTGTCTATCTCTATCTCTCTGTGTATCTAGTGCTCTGTCTCTGTATCTCTCTTCCCCATTTTATTTTGGCCCTGGCTGTCCTTTACCTTCAATTTTCCTCCATCAGTTTTCTGGATGCTGAGCTCTGGTGCACAGAATACAGTGTCTAGATATATATTATTGGAGTGGAATTTTAATATGAAAAAGCTTCAATGTTTTTTTCAATTTTGCCAGAAAAAGGACAGAAAGATTGTAAAAGCATTTTAGGTTGGAGACATATAAGCAAGGCAGTGACTTCTGGATAGGACAGGGCCCTTTTACTCATGAACTCACAGCAGTTGTGGACACTTGCACAAGACCTGGGCAAGATAAAGCCAATCGACATATTTGTTAGAGTGAGAAGTGGCTTATTAACCCCCACTCATACCTAAGAGTTGGCATTTCCTGCTGGAGAGAGGGTTTTTTAAATATTTTATTTTTATTTTTTGTGTATGCGTGTATTGCCTGCATGTATGTAAGAGAACCCGTGTTGTTCAATACCCATGGAGAACAGAATAGGCTATTGGATCCCCTGGAACTGGAGTTACAGACAGTTGTTAGCTGCCATGTGGGTGCTGGGACTTGAACCCGGGTCTTCTGCAAGAACAGTCAGTGCTCTTAACAGCTGAGCCATCTCTCCAGCCCTGGGGAGATTCAGTTTTCAAGCTTGTGACTCGTGTTAAGTAGGCCATGCTCCACTGGATGGTCCTATACCTGGGAAGTACAGAAATTGGAGTTGATGGATTATTAACATAAAAAAGAGGACACATAGTTATACATGGTGTAGAGAGGTAACAATGTGTCTGGAAAAAATTACAAGGAGGGTTTTGTTGTGAATGCAATAAAAAATTTTTGTTTGCAAATCAAAATGAATACAAATATTTAAAATCCTACTATGAAATGCTATGCATAAGAAGAAATAGTACTGCTAAGCTGTGTAAGGTTTTCAGTTAAAAAAGCACAGTAACATTCAGTGAATCAAAAACAGAAGGTTCTAGGTTTAGATTTGTTATATAACTTGTATTTTCCATGAAGCAACTTCTCTCTCTCTCTCTCTCTCTCTCTCTCTCTCTCTCTCTCTCTCTCTCATTTGTGTGTGTTTTGCTGCTTGCTTGTGCACCTTTCCATAATGTAAAGGAAGTGTTCTATGCAACTGTAAATCTCTGTAGTGCTTGAAGTGTAAATTGTTTACAGCTCAGTAATTTTCCTGTAAATGAGGTAATTAAATTAGAACTATAGGATTTTTCCAGATGGTTCCCTTTTGGATTGTTCTCCATGATTGAAAATTATAATTCTATTTCTATATGATCTCTACCCTACTTTTGAAAACACTTTGCAAAATGAAAAATATAACATTTAATTTGCACATGAAAGGATTACACTTAATCTCAATAAAATTTTGCTTTGAAATAATGGTGACATTACTGCCTACTAGACAATATTAATTTTGTAAGTCAGCTATATTTAAATATGGCCCCTCAATGAAATGTGAATCTAATTCAGAATTTCTTGTACATCTTTGATATGGTTATTTAAGTTTACTTATAGTGAATGAATCAAAAATTATAACCCCAGTAAAGCAGGTAGCATATAGAAAATAAGTAAAAAAAGAAAAAGAAAATGAATAAAGTTTTCTTTCTGTAATGATAATTACCTACATGTACAGAATACACTGTAATAAGAGGGAATGAATAAAGTTAAACAACTTAGACATCAAGTAATTTTAACTATGTGAAACAGTTGTGGTTTATTCAGAAGAGTGTGAAGAAAGTAAACTGCCATTCCAATTAACAGAACTGTGTAGAAACCTCTACTGTAGCTGTACATTCAAATGCATAATCACCCCCAAGGGACTAACCTTAGATCTTACCCATAATGAAATAGTAATAAGTCCATCCCAAAACATTTACAAAATGTTTTACAACTGGGCCACTTACAGTAGTGTAAAACTTCAAAATCTCTAATATTATCAGTCCATTAATTCATGAGTTGGTAACTATTTAGTTCTAGTGTGTGCTTTGAATTTTTTCACTCTATACATTCCCTTTCACAGCCACTCAGATTGGAATGGACTTATTCACTATTCCATTTTGTTAAGATATAAGGATGGTGCCTTGGAATGATTATACATTTGTATGTCCAGTTATAATAGATGGTTTCTTGACGTTTTTTAATTAGAATGGAAGTTTCATTTCCTCAAATTGCAATGAATAAACCACAATTGTTTCACACAGGTAAAATACTTGATATTTCACTTGTTTAACTTTGTCATTCCCTCTCATTATAGAATATTGTATACAGATAGGTGATTGTCATATTAAAGAAAACTTTTCTCATTCTCTGTATGAATCACCTTTTTACTGAAGTTATACATTATAGTTTTTTGATATCAGTATTTTAACATGTGTTGCATTAATTAAAAAGTTTTGAGGCCTTAGTAATTCATTGGCTTAAGACCAATTTATTTAAGTTTTTATGATGGACTGTTAAGCAATAATAGAAAGAACAACATATCTCCACATAACATGGAAAAATTTCACAACTAACACTGAATACAAGCATATGGATACAAAATTAATACAATTTACAGAATGTTCTTTGCTTTCATCTCATAAACATGAGAAGTTACTCTACAATATACTAAAGTATCCATAAGATAGTGTGCACAGAAGTTGTGTAACTTGTGATTCTGCAGAAATGAATTCATAGAGAAGGTAGATTAACAGTTACTTAATGCTGGGGAGTATGGTAGTGATGACTTAATGGCTAAAGATGTTTTAAAGTGCTGATGAAAATGTTCTAGAATGTTGCAATTCTTGTGGTTATCATGCTATGTACATATTACCTATATTTACCAAAAAATGAATAAAGAAAAGAAATAATAGATATGACTTCATAAAGCATAACCAGGGAATTTCACATCCCTGAAGATAGGTATCACCTAAGGGACAGGTGAGTAAGCAAAGAAATCAGGTGTCCAAGGACCACAAAACAGCGTCCTAGTAAACATCAGAGAAGCAGTAAATTTCAGACACCCCTAAGTAATACAAATTAGTTATTTTTTAGGTCAAGTGATAGAGATGACTTATGCCTTAGCAACATATCGCATAAGAATACCTTAGTGTGCTAGTGTTGGAATTATCACAGATAATGCAAATTAAGAATAAAGAGGCATTTAAGATTGACTAAAATTCATTTTTCAATTAAAAATTACATTCATCCATATACTTTGATGAGTTTTCCATCTTTATAGAAAGACAGGAGGGAAAATATATACACAAAAATATGTGAAAGATAAGAAAACACACATACAAAAATACACACACAAATACATGCCCAAATACCACACACAGAGAAACAAATACACAAAGAAGCACACATGCATACCCCCCCACACACACCCAGACAGACTCATAAACACATAGAGAAATTACCAAGAGTGCTCACTGTAGAAAGTAGTATAGAAGAAAGACATAGCACATAATTCAACCATCAAAATGTTCATTCACATTCTTAATCATAATTAAATTAACTGCATCATGGTCTTTTATTTGCCAGATGATTGAATGTCATCAGAAAGTATCATTCAACTATAGGATTTTCTTGAGAAGATAATCATTACAAATATAAGTACAAAGTCTTGGCTTTCATATTTTTAAATATAATATAGAACACGATTAATATGAGCCTTTTTTAATACCCTTTGCTGGTATGCATTTAGTGGATATCATTGTACAATGGAACAACAGTTCACAACCCAGTGCTTTATATAAAGGTTAATATTTTCCAATTTTAGATTTCAAGTAAATAAACATTTCCTACAGAGCTTGCCAATTCCATATGCTTCACTCTACTTTTAATCACCACAGTTAAAATTTTGAGTTTTCATAAATGTGATTAAATAACACCAATTTACTTTAAATCCAAAAAGATGGATCATTAATTTCATGATCTCACCATTTATACATTAACAAAATCCACTTTAACTTTCCATGAAATGGGAAAGATAACCATTTTAAAATGTGTATATTTTATTTCATAATAATCCGTTATTTGTTGAAACCAGACCATTGAAGGCAGAAAAAACCCTCTGATATTCTAAATATACATTTTCATATATAAAATGAGATATTCCAGAATATATTTGCTCATGTTGAGGTTACTGATATGAATTCTCTTATTGAATAACCAGGAAAATTTC